TATATATATAATATACTAGTGTAGGTACAGTGTTGGTATAGAACTCCTTAATGGACCACTGGTCACCCAACAGGAGAATTCTTCTGCCCTGCCCTGCTGCGCCAGCAGCAGCAGCAGCAGCAGCAAATAGATTCAAGGAAGACAGAGGCTGCTGCATGCATTCTTTTTCTTATTTTCTTGCCTCTATCCCCTTTATTTGTATTTACTAATTTTACCGTCTCTTCTCCCTCCTCCTGTATACAGAGAAGGACGCATGCATATATACCATGACTTATTTGCCCTTATTAAATAATTTATTTTTTTTTATAATTAAAAAATAAAATAAACACAAAAAGGGGAATTATTCAACCTATAGATAAAATGGAGTTTTTTTTCCTTTTTTTTTCTTCTTTTTTCTTATTTCCTTAAGGAAGGGGAGGCAGATACAAGGAGACTAACAACAAGAGACGCTCTCTTCTTATTACTATTACCTTTAGGCAGAGTAATAGAGGAGAGAGTGTACTTGCTGAGTAACTCCTTGTTTATTTATTCTTTTCTTTTGTATATTTGTATATATATACATATATATTCTATCTAACCTCAGCAAATAACCCTCAATAGATGCTCTTTTCTTTTCTTTTGTTATAATTAGACTAGAAAAAAGAAAAGAAAATTAATTAAAGTATAAAAATACAATACTTCGTTGCTGTCTGGAAGGGCAAACAACTCACCATAGTTATGCCCGTCAACCAGTTATAATAGTGGGGAGTTTACTCTTAATATGTAGATATTTTTATTCTATTCTATTTGATTTATTATTTTTTTTCTTCTGCATATTTACAAAATTATTTATTAAGTCTTTAGAGTATACTAATTGCTGCCGCCAGTATGCCCTTTGCTTCCCTACTGTTGATCTCGCTCTTCGGTGGGGGGGGAGGAAGGGGAAGTTGCGCTTCATTTGCCTATATCTTAAGTTTCAATTTAAATTAATTATTTACATTTGCCATTTATTTTGTATTTTGTTATGTGTGTTGAGTAGAAGTTAAGAAGAAGGCAACTTGTGAGCTGCCTGTACACTTGGTGGTGCATAGTCATTCAGGTGTATAGGCAGCTCGATTTGCTCATGAGTGAAATTTTTTAGTTTATGATTAAAATTGTGATTAAATCAACTTTAATTTAATTTTATTATTTATATTTAATAAAATAAAAAGGTATTTTACGTTGACTTTCTCTTAAATCGATCAGTGGTCACGCCGTTGAGTCCGCTGGCCTCCTTCCGGCGGTCTGCTGCTCGTTGTTTCCCCTTTCTTGTTTTATGCCGCATGCGCATGAAAAGCAAAACTTCTTGAAATTATTTGAATTGAATTACTTTTATTTATTTACTTCTATCTTAAATACCGGCAGATTCTCCCTCTATACAGACAGACAGAAGATTGTGCATGCAGGAGGGTGTTCGTGCCTCGTTAGTTGTGCTGCAGCAGCAGCAGCAGCACAACAAGGCATTTCCTTACCTTTATAGCCTTATCGATTATCTTTTCTTTTCTATTTTTTTGATTTGTTTCTTCTTCTTCTCTCCTTTTCTTGATATAATTCCATTAAATAAAGGGAGATGTCTATAAAAAATAGAGGAATAATAAGATAAAATGGCAGGAAGAACACCATCTAATTCAAGTCCTTTTTCTCCTGAATTACAAACTTTTGTCGTCACCAAGTACGATCCTCTCTTAGCCATCGTAAGAGAATTAAATGCGAGGCTACAGGCAGCAGAAAAAGGTAATTTATACACACTTTTCTTGTTGCTGATCTATACAGAGGAATGCATGCATGCATGCATGCATGCATGCATGCAGATGCAGCAACAGCAACTGCTGCTGCATCTGCTGCTGCTGGTGGTGCTATTGCTGACTATTATAGAAGATTAGCTATTGAAGGAGGGAGTTGCGCATTAAGCAGCAGAAGGAATAATGCAGAAGCAATCTTTGCTGCTGCTGCTGCTGTTCTGTGTTGTTCTTTTGTCTCTTCCCCCTCTCTTTCTTCTATTTAATCGTTTATATATTCTCTACAATCTAAGACAATTAGGTGGGACTGCATGCATTTCTTTTTTCGGCGTTTGCTGCTGCTCTGATTGCTGCTGCTGCTGTTGCTGCTGCTGCTGCTGCTGCTGCGCAGAGAGGATGCGGCTAGAGAGGAGAGTACAACGTCTTGAGCATCAAGTAGTTGAGCTTACGAATGCATGCGATAAAGGGGCGTCATTAAAGCCTCTTCCTGATGCAGATGTGGATATAAGTACAGGTAGACATGGTAAGAAAAAAAGGAAGAAAAAAAGGAAGATTTATTGAATATTGATGCTTCTTGTGTACATTTCCTTCTAATGTATTAAGATATATTCATTAATATATATTAAAATATAAAATAAAATACTTTTTTTATACGAAAAAGACTTTGTATAATTATGGTGTATATATATGTGTGTATATGCATGCAGCTGTACATGAACTACTAGAGAACGAAGAGGCGCTTGCTGCAGCTTGGCTCTTTTCTTGTCAGGTTAGGTTTATTAGATATATAATTAAAAATAAAATAAGAAAATATAGACATAGAAAAGAAATAATGGTAAAAATAAGGGAAAAAATAAAGGTTTCTTCTTATTCATGTTGGGGTGTACGTACAGATCGGTACACCAACTTCTGCATTGCAAGTTCTTCTTGAATTTTCTCCCGATTCAACAATAGAAATTGATTGTAAATTATGGAAAAGAGAGGTAAATAAATAAATATATTTATTTATTTATTTATAAAATTAATATATTTATTTATTTAATAATAAATATAAATTTAATTTTCCTCTTTTTTTCTTCTTTTTGCAGGAAGATATGTGGATTTGTCTTCTTGAAGAACTTCCTGATGGTAAATAAATACATAAATATTTATTTATTTTATTTATAATTATTTATTTTATTTGTAATTATTTATTTATTTTATTTATAATTATTTATTTATTTATTTATAATTAGTCTTCTTTTTCTTCCTCTTGCATGCATGCATGCATTTATTTTTTGTGTTTTTTTTATCTGCAGAATTTGCCTTTAGACGTCCTGATTCTCTTCATCTATTAGATCTAAGGAGAGCAGGTAAATAAATATTTATTCTCTTTTTTTTATTGTTTGTTCTCCTCTTTTTTTATTCTTTTTCATATCCTTTTTACTGTTTTCTTTTTTATTTCCCCTTTACTGTTTTCTTGTTTAATTCTTTTTTAATTGTTTTCTCCTTTCTCCCTCCCCTTGCTGTTCCCCTATAGCATCAGCAATGCCCTGCACAGGAATTCAGCTGCTGCTGCAACTACTGTTGCTGCAACTACTGTGTTCTGCTGCTGCTGCTGCTGCGGTGTATATACAGCTCGTCGTGCCTTACTTGAATTATGCCGCGGGGAGGTATTCATTCTTGTAAGAAATGTACCAGGGAGAAGAGAGGCGCCTAATTGTCCTACAGCTATTACCTTAGTTGGTAAGAAAATTATTATTTTATTTATTTATTTAGTCTATTCATATAGGGGATTTATTTTTATTTTATTGTTTCTCTATTTATGCTTATTTATTTATGTTTATTTATTGATGTTTATTTAGTCCTTTTATTTCTTTGTTTGTTCTTATGGGGGGATTTATTCATTTAGGGTTTAGGGTTTATGTTTATTTACTTATATATATATATATATATATATATATATATATA